GAGCGCAGCATAATGAGTGTCTGTGTTGTTTTTGTGATGATCAGCGAGTGAAAAAGGGGATGATGGCCTTGGAGTGGCTGTAAATCACAAATCAGAGCAGAGGTGTGGACATTTAAGAGGTTTTGGAAAGGAGCAGTAATAACTGTGCATTGGTATTTTGTTTTGTTGACAACATTTTTTCATTTTTTTCTGTACATACTCTAAATTCTCAAGTGCAAAGAACGCACTAATTTACATACAGCCTTGTGAAGTCGCCCCTCCTCCTGCTTTCTGTAATGGGCAATCTGTAATTCTCTTTGAGCACTGTAATTACTTGATTAAAAAATGACTGACGGTTTGTTTTCATGCCCTTCTCGATCATCAGTTCAGGATTTTATATGTGTGATGGGAGATGTTCCTATCTTATAGCACCAAATCACAACGACAGTCGCCTCAAGGCGCTTTATATTGTAAGATAAAGACCTCACAATAATGCAGCTTTTGTACTTGTGCCATACCTGCTGGTGTAACCATGCCGGTCTGACTGACTACTAGTAGAAGCACAGCTTTGTTCCAATTGAAGTATGTCAGCAAATAATGGATGCATTTGGATGCACACAGCTAACAAACAACCTAACAGTCTTCTACTTAACATCTGTAAGTTAACACTGCATATGTGTTGTTAAAGTTTAGCGGTTCTCCAAACCTTTCTGACACGCCACGCTTCAAAAGCCAAAGAAAAATCACATCCCACACTTTTTTAATCAACCAATAATAATAAAACAGGAGCCAACCTGAGTTTGTGTTAAGTAACAGTCAGCAGAATGGTATCAGAAAATTCTTATCTGTTTAGTTTTACCAAAAAAATTCAACTCATTCAACTTACTTTTGCTTCGTGCTTTCCCCCTCCTTCTCCACCTGCAGTGGTTTGTCCCCCACCAGTATGAAGATCACTGGCATGTAGAAAAGCTATCTTCAAGTAAAGCTTTATATGAGGCTATAAACAGGTAGGGGCTTCTGTCTTCTCTGTCTCCTGCTGTAGACAGAACCCAGGTGCCTTATCTAATCTATGTGTTCAACATGGCAATGTAATGCATCCACATGCATGCTGGTGCTGAATCTGCAGGGCCTGAGTTCATGTGGGTTTTCTACTAGACCATCACATCAACACCCTGATATCTCCCCCAGGGTCAGCAACAGCACACCTCCACACACAAAGGCACACATGCACACACCATACCAAATGTGGGTTTACTGAGAGAATGAGCTTGGCAGTGAAGCGCACGATCAGTCTGAGTCTATCCTAAACAATGATATGAGTTAGAAGCAGAGTAAAGGGCAAATAAATGAAAGCTCAAGTCAGCCGACAAGATTTATTCGTGTCAAATTTGGTACATGTGTCTTCAGAATTCACTTACAGGAAAAGGTCACAACACTTTTTGCTTAATTTTGCAAAGGTGTAATTCCAAACAAATGTCATGTAAGTAATGAAAACAATGTTGAATCTCTGCAAATATGTTAATGTAGACAGTTTTCTAACTTGAGGCTTCAGCCATTTGACTTAAATAAATAAACCTTTTAGGTCATATAAACTTTTTTCTGACTTGTTTGATCTTATATTTATGAGACATAAGAGGTTATGAGATCATTTCTGCAGAAATAATTCCTTCTGGCTTGCACAGCTTTCCAGTTGAAGGAAAAAAGTCTTGTTATTATTATTTATTTATTTTTACAAATAATAATGCTATAAGAGATAATCAGAGCTTCCAGCTTCACATCCTCACACCTGCCCATGTATCTGAGCATGTGGGGGGAAGTGAGGTATCACCTTAACTCTTAAACATAAACCAGAGCCTCCTGGAATGTAGCGCCGTGAGAGGGATCGGATCTTATCAGTTTCGGGTTTTTTTCCTTAGTGATATGTTATTCCTCTTTGTTATACGTGTATTTGCATCAGCGTAACATCACTTGAAGATTTAGTTTTTCTTGCATGTGCATCACTGGTGATGTGAAACATCATTTCACATGTTTGCGCTCTGTGGCTGTTTTAGTTTCTGGTTGTTAAGGTGAGGGGAATCACTCCTGAGGCATGCACAGCTGCACCTCACCAGAAGTACTTGTCAGGAAAGAGACGACAGGAGCAGAAAATAGAAAGTTAAGCTGTCTGGCAGTCTGGGATGTGTCAGCGGTAGTTTATGTGAGTAGACTGTAGTAAAATACAAATTGTGAGGTACTTGTACATAAGTATTGCCATTTGAGTCTACTTAGTTCTTATACACCACATTTAAATGGGAAACCACTTTACTCCAACACAAGAAGCTGACAGTTCAGAGTAGGATTAGTAAAGTAGGTTACCTAACTGCCACAATGACAACCACACAGGCTAATGCATTATTAAATATATCAGTTTGAGTAGAGTGTGTCTGGTTAATTGTTGCTTTTGCTACTTTAATTTAATTTTACAGCGTTTTATATTTTAAGATCAACATTTTGAACATTTTGGATCTTATGTGTGCTTTGCTCAGCCAGAATATTACTATTATTGCATTGTGTTACTTAATTAATAATGTTACTTAATTTGTAACACTACATATTATATTACTTTTGCATTACCTAACACGGCCTATTCATATAATTACTTTTATCTTTTAAAAGATAAAGTTAAGGCTGCAGTTTCACACACTTGCACAAATTCCTGTCCTAATGAGCACCTATGTAACAGCTGCTTTTTAGTGTTTGAGTATGAACTCAAAGCCAACAGCAAAGCTGGAAACCATCCCAAAGTGCGTTTCACAGCATTTGCCATTAATTTTACTGCAAAAACAGAGGCTATGTTTGAACCTGACTCACTGCTTTTGTTACCCGATGAAGATCAGGGTCTGGCTGCTGGACTCGGGTCAGCATACACTCAGCTTCAACATCACTCTGGGCTCTTCCTCACTAGCTTCATGTTAGCGTGCTCTCTTTATGGATGCTTGCCAAAAAAACAACCAACCAACAAATAAACAAACAAACAAAAAACCCAGTGTCCTGTTAACAGTGTATAGTTGTTTCTGCCCTGGATGCTGTTTGCACATTACCTATGCAAACTTGCTCTTTTCTTCAATAAAAAAATAAAAGTTTTGTCTGTTGTGGAGAATGCAGACCATGAAAGCTCTGCAGAAGACTCGTTTGTAATTTGATCATATCTCATTTCCTTTTAGGTGAAATGATATTTAAATAATATAGCATTTTATGTTGTCCAGCAGTTGATTTAGTTTAATTGCTAGTGTGTGCCTGCTAGTACAGCTTTTTGTTACAGGAACACCCTGTCTGAGTATGTAAGTCACAACTGGCACAACAACTTGTTATTAGCCCGCAGTCATGCACTGTATAAATACCTGCAGGTATTAATGTTTGCAAGGTACATTATCTAAATTCTGTTGATAGCGTACATGTTTACATGTTACAGTTACAAAATAACCCTTAGCTTTTTTGCTGTTAGCAATTTAGTGACGTGAATTCATCCTCAGCTCCTCTGGGATCACAAATAATAATTCAGCAGAGCAGAATTTAAATCTGGATTAACTGTCAGAAGGCCATGCTGCTTGTAGCTTCTTCTTGATTGTCTTCTATGGACAGACGGTTTGTGTCCACAGAAGACAATCAAGGAAAAGCCAAGTGGTCATTCCTGTTATATTTCTTTGAAGTCCACCTGGAGAGGATGCGCAGGTGGTGCATTCTAATAAAAAGTCTTGGATTAGCTGGTCCACATTGTCATAAAACACTGGCAAGCACATGGACATCTGCATAGACCTCCATGCTCTCTGACTGATGACGAAATTCATGTAACTTGATCCTCATCAGACTCACTGACGCAAAAAGTATAATTAAGGCTTAAATCTTCATAAAACTTAGAGAGATGCATTTAAATACGCTGTTGTGATATCAAAAAGACTAGATAAAGATCTTGATGACTAGATAGGCTTTGTGTTATTCCAGTAATGTAATAATGTCTTGCTTGTGTGCCTGACGCCACATCCAGCTTTACGCGTGCTACAGATAAAGCTGGATAAGGTTGGAAATGATGCACCTTTGATCCAATTACTTTACCAGGAGCAGAGTGGATGCAGTGCAGTAAAATGTACGCAGTGTACGCTATCGAGCATATTTTGATCTGAACTATCCAGTAAAGAGGAGTTGCTCAGCACCTAGCATTGTTGTTATAGCTGCCTCGTTGTAAACACTGAGACACCAGGTTAGAGTTACTCTTGGCTGATCCATGCTAAGCTTCTAGCTTGTTAAACTCTATTTCAAGTCTTCCCTCACACAGTGATAGCTCTAATTTAAGTGTGCACATAACAGTAGATAGTTAGGGAGTAGATAGGAGGAGAGTTGTTGGCTGGAGCATTTTGCACAGGGTGTATTTGCACAGCTGAGCGTAGCACTGACATAGCTAACATCACTGTCATAATTAGACCTGTAGGCACAGTTCGGTGGCAGTGCAGGGTAGACCTCGGTATCTGTTTTTCAGGCTTCCTGTTCTGCTCTTTATTTTTTGCTTTGTCTTCTGTGTTTCCCCATGTCTCGCTTCCATGCATATGCCATGACTGACAGTGTTGGGTGGAATGTGAACATTCGGTTTTTAAATAGCATCCTGGCCTGAATCAGCCACTCCTAATAAGGCAGAGGGCCGTGACACTGGCCCTAAAATATCAGCAACCACCTCACTGAGAATAAAACTTTTCCTGGCCTTGTTATTTAGGGACAACTGATAATAGCTGTTGGATATGAGTGCAAACAAGGTACACTAGATATAGATTTCCCAGAGCTGTCATAAATATATTTCAGGCAACATAACATACTCTACTGAATGTAGCCTCGTGTTCAGGGTGTCTCTTGAACTGCAGGTAATTGTACTTTACAGTAATGGCAACTTAAGGTGAAGAACAGCTTTGAGGAAACCTTAATTTGTATTATGCACTATCAACGTTTGACACCAGGTTTTACAATTAACTTTCCTTTCATTTCCCTTTATTTAGGATACTGGTGGGAGCTCCAAGGGCGGCAGGGCAGGGTAAGTTGACGGGCAGTCGACCAGGAGCCCTGTTCAGGTGTCCGATCACACCAGAGGAGTACGACTGTGAGAGGGTTGACATCGATGGAGACGGTGGGTTTCAAGTGCAGCTGAAACAACTTGTCGGTTAATTTGTCAATTCATCAACCAAACTATGACGTGACTTTTATTCTTGGTGTTTCACTTTGTTCTTTGTACTGTGAAATTAAACACTTCAACCAAAGACAAAACTTTAAACACATCAACTTGGGCTTTAAGAAATCTAAATAACACCTGGACCTCCGTCGGTCAAAGAGAATTATCTTTATTATAAACTACATTATCCCAGGCAGAATGTTAATGGTTTCTCTGACAAGCATCATGGAAATATATGATGTTACTGTATCATATTTATAAAGATACCTGCTTCATTTTTGTGAAGTGAGAAGTGAAATAACACTTCTAATAGGTGAAGTGAATAAATAACAAAGTTCTGTTTGCTTGTAACCAGAAAACAATACAATATGGAAGCCGTCATGACTGACAGTTCACTCTGTGTTCTCTTTCAGTGAGGTGGGACAGAGAGAGCAAGCACAACCAGTGGCTGGGAGTTACAGTCAAGAGTCAGGGCATTGGAGGGAAGGTTGTGGTGAGTACCAAATGCCCAAATTGGGTAAATTCACGTTGTGCTGATGATCAAGAGATATAAGAGCAGACATTGTGCATTTCCAGCTTTGGTTCATCTGCCAAGTTGTTGTTTATAACGATGAAGACTTTAAGACTAATTTGGTCATTACACTGTTGCATAGTATCATATTCTTTAAAAAAAAATCAAAGGCTAACTGATATCCAGGAAACCCTAATGCGTTTTTCCCCCTTCACCAGACCTGCGCTCATCTATACGAACTTAGGCAACGTGTAAACCAGTCATCAGAGACTCGGGATCCCATTGGGCGTTGCTATGTCCTGAGTGAGGACCTGACTAATCGAGATGACCTGGACGGAGGAGAATGGAAGTTTTGTGAGGGTCGGCCACAGGGACACGAGCAGTTCGGTTTCTGTCAGCAGGGCCTGTCTGTCAGTTTCACCCCAGACAAAAACTTCATTCTGTTCGGTGCTCCAGGAACATACAACTGGAAAGGTAATGTGACCGACTGATAGAAGCCTTTATTTAGAGTTTCATGATTTACTAATCGGAAGACCAGAGGAAAACCTGTGTAGTGTGATTTGGGATTGAATGTACTGCTCACAAAAATGCAGGCAAGGGGTGACGAAGGGCTGGAAATCATCTTTCAGATGGATCCCTTCTTGACATGCCCCGTTTCATTCATAAAGATGAATGCTAAGCAGAAGGAACTGGCAGTGGGTTTTTTTGTCTTTAGTATCTACTGATTCCTTCTCTTATGCCTTTCTGAGTGTTGTTCTATTACAGTGCAAAGACGATTTACCACGAATGTAAAAGAAATATGAGAAGAAACTCCTGTTGCAGCTAATGCATGCTAGAGAAGAAAAGCAATGCAATGAAACTGTCTAATTAAATAAGTACTACTAACAGGACAATCCAATTAATTTATAGGCCAGTCTATTGATTGAACACTGAAATTATGCAGCACAGCTTAATCCATTTAATATAAATGGTCTAAGATATATTGGATGCAAACATCAGTTTCTGGATGATTCATATTTTAATAAAAGGCTGCTTTATGGAATAAAAGCTGAATTTACACAACGCCTGTTCTAAAATGTCTAAATTCTGTCACATGCTGGATTTGGGAAGCAACACGTGAGCATGCGTATCTATGACCTTGTCCCTGTTGTTTAAGATAATGTGCAAATCTGTGTTTGTCACCGTGCTGTGCCCTCACCTATTTCCTTTCCAGGCGAGATGCGTGTTCAGCTCCTAAACCAGACTCTGCTTGACCTCGGTGTCTATGACGACGGACCTTACGAGGTGGCAGATGAAAAACAACTTAATGCCCAGCTCATCCCTGTGCCCTACCACAGTTACCTGGGTAGGATTTGCCCTCCCTGCTCACTGCTGCCTGCGCACAGGAGAGATAGAGAGGGCCGGGGGAGGATGACACCAGGACTTAGACTGTACCCCAACACGGCTGACTTAACCACAAGAATTAGCAACAGTAGCAACAAAACTGCCTCTGATTGGTTGAAGAAAATCTTGTAGTGTTCCTACTATTCCTGGACATGACTTTTAGCTCAGCAATTTATGACTCATGAAGCCCTGAACAGGACTCCACCTCATTTTTCCAGCCTTTGTTTGACTGTGGGTGGACATGTAGCCTGACAGGATCAGTCCTCATGTTGCTACTATTTGCTCACTTTCTTGGGAAAACAAGGGAAAATACTTGATGTCATCCTCATTCCAGCTACCGCCCACTGTCTGAAAATGCCAGTGGTGTACAGTCTGAGCCTGACGTGTCATCTCTCCACCAGGTACCCAGTGGTTTTGCAGGACAAACCACTGTAGCACCACACAGAAAGCAATCAATCACAACCTCTCACCTGCACCTCCCTCTCCCCTTTTCTTCCTCTTTCCACCCCCACCACCATTTCACCATTCCATCACACCCTCCCCACGCTCCTCTTTCTGCTTCTTTCTGTTTTCTCCTCCTGTTTTGGGCCATAGGGCTCTTGTTCATGGCTAGCCCCGTTGAAGATGCACTGCTGTACAAAACTCTGGAACCATCAAGGCGGCCCACATCGTTTGAGGATGTAGCTCATAATAGCTACCTAGGTTTGTAGGCTTGAGGTGCTGTCGTTTGGACCGGACTGGACTTGTAGTGGACATAGTATCTTGTTTTTCTCCGTCTTTGTCTTAATCCTTTCTGATCAGTTACACAGTCTGTCTGTCTATATAGATTTTAGTGTGTAATCTATGTTAAAAAGAGACAGCCATCCAAAGTTATACTTCCTTTTTTATTTCATTTTTTAAATTAAATTAAATTTAATTTATATTTTTGGCACAGTTATATAGTTGCAGAAGAGATGGCCTTCTCTTTGGGTAGCAGGAGGTGTTTGTCTGTTGTTTGTTGATCTCTTTTGTTAGTTTGCATGTGTCTGTCCGGATGAAGCTTTCCAGGGTATCTTGGTGGTGGTTTCACTTTAAGTAGTTGCAGATATACTAAACCGAATTGTTTTAAATGGTTTAACTAATATACCAGACGAGTCCACAGCTGTGCGAGGCTATACCGAGGTACATCATCAGCATGCTAACATATTTACAATCAGTGCTAATTTTTTTAACACGTTAATACACTAACTTTTGCTAACAAGCATTGAACCCAACTGCAATTGAGGTGGATGAGAATATTATATATATTTGTTATGTGTGGTATTTTTTCATTACTGACTATTGAAATCTGGGTGATGGCCTGAAGGCTGATGGAGGTTTTAGCATCAATATGAATGGCTAGCAATTAAGTTTCGTTAAGCTCTATTTAAAAGCAAAAATACTAGTGTAACAGCGGTGAAAGAGGAAAAGTAACTCTGGTTATCACAAATGTCTGTACAGCATTTCAAATATAATGGTAAGAGGCCTGTACTACGAAGACTTCTGCTTACCCCGGATGCTTCGGGGTTGTTGTTTGTACAACAAAAGTGGTTCACTTCTCACTGGGGTATATCAAAATGGTAATTCAGGCTGTGAAGCAGTTCCAGATTAGAGATCAACAGGTGCAAAATCACTGCCTATTGACCTGCCAGGTTACCAAGAAGGTTACCAGTTCTTGAAGATCCCTTAATCCTCTGTTTCTAAAGTTTTTTAATAGGTTCTAATGTCTTTGATGAGTATCAGTAAAAAATATTGATTCTTTGAAGTAACTTTAAACTCTTTTCCTGTTGGCTGCAAACACTTTTACAACACGTTTATTATTTTATCAGCATTAACATATGAACCTAAAATAGGACACCTGTTTTTACTTTTGGGCTTAATTTGCTCGTAGTCTAAGGGTTGAATACCACTGGGGCAGCAGCTGAGAGATTAAAAGCTAAAACTGTCTTTTACATATTAATTTAATGAGATTCTTTATTGTAATCTATCAGATTCTTAATGAGACTGTTGTGAAGTGATAAGTCTGTTGAGTTCCACCGTCAGCTTTTTTGCCAGCTTTTCTTCCAGGCTTCAAGTAGGCTAAACTTTATTAATATAGTCACTCCTTTCTCGTCTTACTGACCAATGCGCTTAAAGCCCATACTTAAGTAAAACTGTATCACTCTACAGTGCTCTTCCTCTCACACATACTCTTGCTGCTTTATCTGCAGCAGCTTTGTTGCCTTAAATCTGTATTACATGTTTGAACTTCATATTTTCTCCAAAGTACAGCTTCATTTCTCTTTGAAGAAAATCGAACGGGTCTACTGTGAATACATTTATCCATAATTAGGATCACTCAGATGCCGCTAACACCACCCTTTTCATGTGAATGTGCAGGCAAAATCCTGGTTTAGTTTAGCAAGTTGATACCTAGCTTCATGTGACTGCTTATCCTGATTGGATAAGTGAATGCCCTGGGTATGATGAACTCACTTTGTAGTACAGGCCTAAGGTCAAATGAATCAATAGTGGTGCAGTGTCACACTGATATTTTCATTCAAACAATAGATTTTATCAAGATAATGATGTGATGCTTTGTGATGCTTTCTCAGTATTTAGTGTCAGTTGTTAGTGATCCACAGTCTGCTGAGCAGGAGCTATTCATTGTTATTTTGGGTTTCCGGTCATTATTTTTCCTCTAAGTGTGTGGATCTGCTATAAATCTCTTTATTCACATTCCTCCAATCCTGCTTACCCTCCTACTCACCGTATTGAGCCGTCTCCTTGACAACACTAATTCCCACATGACCTTTTAGCCTTCATTTATAACCCACGTGCTTCCATTGATCCTAACCAGATGATACGACACACCTATGCATGCTTACTAAAATGACAGAGACTGTTGTAGGAATTTGCAGCTTTTGTTGGATCTGAAATATCACTGTATTGTGTCCAATAGGAACAGTAAAAGTATTCATTTAAAGAAGTGACGGCCTGCTGAATGAAAAGACAGCTTTGTTTTTATCTCCATCAAGGCCAAATCCAACATTACACATAGAATCTCTTCATTACAAGCTAAAGGGACTAATGCTGAGGCTGCACCCGAGTAGTTACCATAATTAGAAAAGTCAGCGTTGAAACAACGAGTACATAGAAGCATCAACATTTACAAGTATCATCTTTGGCTCTTTATCAGGTAAATTCAGTTTTAGTCTAAAGAAGCTTTTAGTCAAGAAATAAACTCTACTTAAAATGTATAGCCATGGAAAAAAGAGTTATGATAAATAAAATATAGCAAATACATCTTAAGATGAACATCACACGTGACATAATACACCATGTGATTTATTTAACAAAAATTATGCCAAATGCAGAAGTAGTATGTGTAAAAAATACTTACACTCATATTGCATCATACAGCAGTTAGTTATTGCAAATCAAAGGAGGTGTGAGCACCTTTATTTTATAGATAAAACAAAATAACATCCTTTATTGTCTCTGGTCCAAAGGAGGAAAAATATAAACGTAAATGAAATAAAATGTGGATAATAAATTATATATACAGTGGGGCAAAAAAGTATTTAGTCAGCCACCGATTGTGCAAGTTCCCCCACCTAAAATGATGACAGAGGTCAGTAATTTGCACCAGAGGTACACTTCAACTGTGAGAGACAGAATGTGAAAAAAAAATCCATGAATCCACATGGTAGGATTTGTAAAGAATTTATTCGTAAATTAGGGTGGAAAATAAGTATTTGGTCAATAACAAAAATACAACTCAATACTTTGTAACATAACCGTTGTTGGCAATAACAGAGGTCAAACGTTTACTATAGGTCTTTACCAGGTTTGCACACACAGTAGCTGGTATTTTGGCCCATTCCTCCATGCAGATCTTCTCGAGAGCAGTGATGTTTTGGGGCTGTCGCCGAGCACCACGGACTTTCAACTCCCGCCACAGATTTTCTATGGGGTTGAGGTCTGGAGACTGGCTAGGCCACTCCAGGACTTTCAAATGCTTCTTATGGAGCCACTCCTTTGTTGCCCGGGCGGTGTGTTTTGGATCATTGTCATGTTGGAAGACCCAGCCTCGTTTCATCTTCAAAGTTCTCACTGATGGAAGGAGGTTTTGGCTCAAAATCTCACGATACATGGCCCCATTCATTCTGTCCTTAACACGGATCAGTCGTCCTGTCCCCTTGGCAGAAAAACAGCCCCATAGCATGATGTTTCCACCCCCATGCTTCACAGTAGGTATGGTGTTCTTGGGATGCAACTCAGTATTCTTCTTCCTCCAAACACGACGAGTTGAGTTTATACCAAAAAGTTCTACTTTGGTTTCATCTGACCACATGACATTCTCCCAATCCTCTGCTGTATCATCCATGTGCTCTCTGGCAAACTTCAGACGGGCCTGGACATGCACTGGCTTCAGCAGCGGAACACGTCTGGCACTGCGGGATTTGATTCCCTGCCGTTGTAGTGTGTTACTGATGGTGACCTTTGTTACTTTGGTCCCAGCTCTCTGCAGGTCATTCACCAGGTCCCCCCGTGTGGTTCTGGGATCTTTGCTCACCGTTCTCATGATCATTTTGACCCCATGGGATGAGATCTTGCGTGGAGCCCCAGATCGAGGGAGATTATCAGTGGTCTTGTATGTCTTCCATTTTCTGATGATTGCTCCCACAGTTGATTTTTTCACACCAAGCTGCTTGCCTATTGTAGATTCACTCTTCCCAGTCTGGTGCAGGTCTACAATACTTTTCCTGGTGTCCTTCGAAAGCTCTTTGGTCTTGGCCATGGCGGAGTTTGGAGTCTGACTGTTTGAGGCTGTGGACAGGTGTCTTTTATACAGATGATGAGTTCAAACAGGTGCCATTCATACAGGTAACGAGTGGGGGACAGAAAAGCTTCTTACAGAAGACGTTACAGGTCTGTGAGAGCCAGAGATTTTCCTTGTTTGAGGTGACCAAATACTTATTTTCCACCCTGATTTACGAATAAATTCTTTACAAATCCTACCATGTGGATTCATGGATTTTTTTTTCACATTCTGTCTCTCACAGTTGAAGTGTACCTCTGGTGCAAATTACTGACCTCTGTCATCATTTTAAGTGGGGGAACTTGCACAATCGTTGGCTGACTAAATACTTTTTTGCCCCACTGTAGTAAGAGTAGGACACTAAGGAGTACATCATTGGAGACTAATCAGTAGATACAACCTCGAGTATTTGCTGACTAAACCAATGGCTAGGACATATTTAGCAGGTAGGTAAGAGAATATTTAAAATAAAGAAATAAAAAAATAAATATCGGAAATTCCATTGTGCTCTCCAAATTGTCTCTTTTTTCTGTCTAACAGTCTAACTCAAATAAAAACTAAGCAATTTATTAAGATTAAAATTGCAAAAACTTATCCTTTCATTGCTTAATTAGCTTTATAGTTTCTACCATGTTGCAAGCTTGTGAGCTAAAAGCCTGCGAGGAAAAAGTTGCAGCTTGTTCCCACATCTGCTGGTTTTATAGAAGCTGCAGTGCTGCATTCCCCACCTGCCACCCTGGAGCTGCTCACTGTTTGTCTCTGTCTTGTCTCCCTCTGCATGTTTACTCAGTACCAACAAATGTCCTTCATGTCCCGATGGAGACAGATTGTCCTCACTTTTTGCACCAGCTGCCTGCTTTTTAGTCTAGTATAGCGAGTGCATGTAGAAAATGCCTGCATTCTGGAAAAATGTTTCATATGTTTTGTGTCATTTTTCACAGCTTGATCAGAAATATTCCGCACATGATGCAAACATCCTTCCTCCTCTATATACACGCTGAATTGCTTCACCTGATTTACATGCATGCGCATCCTCAAATTCCTCCACACACATGCAGATTATCTTTTCACAAAGCACACTCACAGAGAAGAGGAGATGCTTCAGGCGATAAATCTGCTTAATGTCCACCCACCATGTTTACACTCCGCCTTCACCAGAGGCAACCAGTGCAGAGCTTTGGTATCATGAATCTCAGGAGACATTAGGCCAACGTCAATACATCTCATGTTACTATCACAACCAGCCTTTTTGCTTCCACTAGACACACAGCCTTTCACACGCACAGCACACAGGACATTTACACCCATCATGAGTTAGGCACAAAATCAATAGTCACTTAAGGCCCACATTTCATTAGTAAGAAGATGAGCAGAACATGGCACACTCAGAGGAGGTGATCCTCTGAACCCCACGGTCGATATTAACCCATAACACTTCCTTCTTTCCTTCCTCCTCTGCTTTTCTTTTCTTCCTTATTTTCTAGGGTTTTCTGTTGACTCTGCCATGGGAATAATGAGTCTCGGAGAGCTAACCTTCGTGGCCGGTGCTCCCCGAGCCAATCACACCGGGGCGGTGGTGCTGCTGAAGAAAGACAATGTGTACCGGTTGGTGCCACAGCACATCTTCTGGGGGGAGGAGCTGGCCTCTTCATTCGGATATTCAGTTGCCACCACAGATCTCAACAGTGATGGGTGAGCAAAGGCTAAATAGGAAGTCAGTCAGGATGACCATCACAAAATCATATAACCCATAGAAATCAGAATCAGAATACTTTATTAATCCCGAAGGAAATTAGGGTTACAGCAGGCAGCATGCTAATGGCGCATGCGCACTTACAAAGGAACCTTCTGACCAACTTTACACAAACATCACATTGGGCAGACATGTCAGAAAGGTAGGCTGATAGGAAAAACAACAAAAATACACTACATGAGGTAAGAGGAGGAGAAAAAAAACTCCACTCAGACTGAGCTCCTAGTGGGAGAACAGTTTGATAACAGAAAAAACACCTCAGCACAAAAAGCACATGACTATCAATACACCATAGAAACACAAGACAAGCAACAGGGGCGGGTAAAGGGTGAGAGAGAGCCGGTGTAGACAGCGCATCCGGTCCTGCAGCATGTCTGCGCTGGTCCAGTCGACTGCCATCTTCCCCGGTAGGGCACAAGCATCAAAGGCGTTTGGAAAGGGAGGGGGGATCAGTCTAAACACAGTCGTTATCAGGGTGTTTTGTTCAGCTCCAGCCTTGAGGCCGCAACTGGTGCCGAAGGGGTCTCCGCATGAATTGCATTCAGAGACTAGTTTAGGTTTTAGAGAACAGACTGTGAGAGAGTGCTCCAGGGAAAAGTAAGTAAAAACACAAGACAAGGACATAAGAAGCTAAGCAGGGAAGATAAGGAGAGGAGAAAAGTGCGACCGCCTTCGCTGAGAGCCAAAAGAGAGAAAATGGGAATGCACGGTCATGTTCTACACAAAAATGTCAAATTCATCTTAAAGTTATAAACACAAGATCATATTTTTTAACACCTAAATCCTGCAACAGCATTTTCCTGTGTAAAATGCATAAAATGCATATTCAAGGGAAACTGTGAATGTAGATTAGAAGAGACTTGTTCAAAGAAGTGTTCATTTCTACTTTTCCGCCTCTGTTTGCTAGCTGGACGGACCTGATTGTTGGAGCTCCTAACTTTTTTGACCGTAAAGCAGAGATTGGTGGAGCTGTTTATGTGTATCTAAACCCGTTTGGTCACTGGGATGATCAGGCTCGACCCATCCGCCTCAACGGGACATACGACTCCATGTTTGGGATGACAGTCAGCAACGTTGGAGATCTAGACCAGGACGGATATGGAGGTACAAGAAAAACTTTTTTATTGACTCAGAATGTTTTAATCTTAAAAGGTAACTTCTGCTGTTTGATTCGCTGAATGGAAAACCCAACGACTGTGAGTGATGGTAAATATAAGTCACTGACTGGATGATGATGGTCATGTTTAATATGAGCATTCATCAGGATATAATAGATGTATAACAGAATATAAATATTAGAAAATAAGGGAAAACATTAAATGGTTCCAGCAGTGAAACAGTTTAATGTGTTGAAAGTCTTCTATATCAAACTGTGGTTTATGGTTTAAACCATTACAATAAGAATGTAGTGTTGGAAACCAGTTTGTCTGACATCTATACAGATATTGCTGTGGGAGCACCGTTTGATGGAGATGGAAAAGTTTTTATCTATAGAGGCTCAAAATCTGGAATTGAGACAAAACCTGCTCAGGTAAGTTTGCTTTGGATATGAGCGACTGCAAAAAAATATTAAAGGTCAAAATCAGAAGGAGTGAATGAGAGAAAGAGATGGCATGGATAAAACTGAATGTTCTTCATCCCATTAGGTGCTGGATGGCCGGGACTTTGATGTGAGACGTTTTGGATATTCTATCTCAGGGGGTTTGGATATCGACAACAATCACTACCCAGATGTGGCAGTGGGCTCGCTGAACGATTCAGTGGTTCTCTTCAGGTGAGGAAAGATTTTGGTTGAACACCTCTGAAAACATTTTGATGACAGTGCATTTATCTAAGGGATGAAAACATATTATCAATAATTTATTAAAAGTTTTCTTTTTTTGTCCTCAAGATCTCGTCCTGTCATCCATGTGAAGAGAGACATAACTATTGATCCTCCACAAATAGATTTGGAGCAGTCCAACTGCAAAGACAGAGATGGAGTCTGGTACTCACTCATAATGCACTAAACTTATAGGATAACTTAACCAAACAAACTGATAATAAAAACATTTAAAGTTCTTCTATAGTCCTGAAGCTCCTAAAGATCATGTCTTTTTTCCTCTTCGTGGTTTTCTGTTTTTAGTGTGGAGGTCAAGGCTTGCTTCACCTTCGTAGCGTACCCAACTCACTACTCTCCACACATTAGTAAGTCACACATCGGCTTTCACGACTGTTTCTGTCTTTTGCTCTCGCGGGGCTTTGCATCACTCCCCACAGTGACAGGAGTCATTTCTATTTACGGTAGAAAGTAACCTTATCTGTGAGGTAACATTAGATCTTATTATGATTAAATCACAGCTGTGTAATACTGTACCTCCTCAGATGGGTTTAGTATATCTTCTGTCCCCGGTGGGTTCTTTAAGTGCTCTTTCGGTGTGTGTCCTGACATTTCTGTATTTCAACCCATCTGTCTCCCTCTATGTGCTCCATTCAAGCCCTCGTAGTGCGCTTTGAAGCAGACACAGAGCGCAGGAAGGTGGGCCTCCCGCATCGCGTTACCTTCCTGGGCCGCAGTTTACTGGAGCCGGAGTACACACAGACAGAAGAAGTGCAGCTAAATCGGCAGCGTCACGCTGTGTGCACCAACGCTGTCTTCCAGCTGCATGTCAGTAATTTAATTTCATGGATGTGTTTCTTTCTTTTACTTTGGAAGGCAGATTTGTATGGAGTATCCCAGTATGAAAAGGACGCTGAGTTGAATAGACATTTCTTTAATTAACTATTTCATTCTTTTCTGCTGTAACTTTGGCCAGAAGTTTAATTTTACATTTTCCCTCTGTGCAGGAGAACATCCGTGACAAACTGCGTCCCATCTCTTTGGTCATAACCCACACTATCAAGCCCGTGCCGCCACGCAGACACTCTGCAAAAAGGCTGGAGAAGCTGCCGCCAATACTCAATGTCTCCCCTTCCAATACGCTCCACTCTGAGGTCTGCAGCAAAATAGGAAAAGAAGTATTTCTAAGGATGATTTAATTTTTATGAGCTCCTGCTGCTCATAATTTACTACATAAACAAGCCAAAGCTTTATGTAATGCTTTCCATCAACATTGTGTTTCTTCATTCATTTAGACTCAGCAAGGATCATTTAAGCCAAATCTGTGACACATAAAATAAACTCAAAACAGAGCATTTAAACCTGTTCTTCTACTTGGGCTGCTTTTAAACTTTTTCAACTCAACTCAACGACAGGCTCCTCATTAAGCTTATCTCTTACTTACCTTTGCAACTGCATATACACTTTTGTAGCATACAGCAATGCACCCAGTGCAGTATTTAGTGAACTGATAAATCATTTAAAGCATAAAATGAGTTGTCAGCGTTAATCAAATGATTGACCAGTTTCTTTGGCATAAGATTATAAAAACCCACAAAAGTTTAAAACTATAAAACCTCTTGAATTCCTGATCTCAGCCTAATATTTGTCTTTTTTAATCCCTGAAGGTGAACTTTCTGCGAGAAGGATGCGGCAATGACAAAATCTGCCAGAGCAACCTGAAGCTAAGCTACCAGTTTGGTACTCGACCCCTGAACTCTGACCTCTTCATCCCTCTGTCAAAGTAAGTATCTGCTGTGCAACCCGACACCCCAACAGTTTTTTATTGTCTGACTGAGATGATAGTGATGATTAATGGCAAATCTTCAGGAAACAGCATGGTATCATATCGAAATTGTTATTGTTTTAATTATTTATTATTAAATAAATAACAATAAATCTTACACAGAAGTAATGTTAAACTGAAAGGGTTCAAGCTTTTCTAACTAATCTCCCAAAAGCTCCTCTGTAGCTGTCACTGCAGATGAATGCATAGGCAAAGTGTCATATTGGAATAAAGAGTTTACAGTTTACAGCCCTACCACAAAAAATCTACAATTATGTTAAGATTGCTTACTCAGCTTATTTCTGCTCAACCTTCAGACTATGTTGAAATGCCTCTCTTTAAAAATGTTTTGTCTTTTTTGCCTCCTTTGCCGTCTTACAGAGATGAGGACGATGTGCAGGTGTTTTCTCTCTCAGATCAGCGGCTGGTGGTGCTGGACATCACCGTCACTAACATGCCCTCTGACCCTCTTTACCCCGAGGAGGATGGCGATGATGCTCATGCTGCTCAGCTTATTATCTCCCTGCCAAACACACTGTCATACGCCGGCTCCAGGATCCCAGAGCAGGTGTGAGATCTGCTAAATATAGTCTCAGACTATCGTTTTAGAGTTGATGACGTGTTCCTCTGATAGTATTTGTCTGATCTGACTGCAGATGAGATGTCAAGCAAACCAGAATGGCTCCCAGGTTGAATGCGACCTGGGAAACCCCGTCAAACGAAACTCTAAAGTAAGACAAAACTGTGTGTTTATTGCTAAACTCAACAAAAGAAGCAAAAACATATTTAAAAAAAACTTTTATTCTCATGTTTTTTCCCTCAGCTGAAATTTTCCATCAGTCTGAGCACAGCTAACATCACTATTGAGACCACCGAGCTGACAGCTGAGCTCTCACTGAAAACGTAAGTTTTCCACATTTTCCCTGATATGTGACAACAAAGATCACATTCTTACTTTTTATGTTTTGACTTTCATCTGAGTTCTTTCATCGTTTTGTCCTCAGCATCAGCGAACAGCCTGACTTGGTCCCTGTGACAGCTTACGCTAAAGTTGTGATAGAGCTCCCTCTGTCTGTCAGTGGGTGAGTAACACCTTCAGTCTATTAAAAGAGTCTGTGGCAGTAAAGCTGCTTTATGTAGGTCTACTAAAACACCCTCACATGCTTTATGGTTGGTAAAATCATTTCATTCCACATTATCTGTCACATAAATTTGATCAGCTTGTTCCAACTCTTCGCTGAAGCGGTGTTTTTTCCACACTGAGGTTCAAGATTTAAAATCAGGACTTCATGTGTTTATGCCTGCACCATTATAACATGTGGAAATATGCTCACTTTATACCTCTCTAACCAGAGAATGACCTTTGGAAGTGTGAAAATTTAAAATGAAACCACATGTATTTTAATAATATTTAGCTCATTTATTAAAGGTTTTTAAATTCAATTATGAATGCTCCGCTTTAAGACGCAGTCTTGCTCATCAATAAAAGTGGTTGAATAGTGAGGAAATAGACAGTGATGTAATGATAGTAATGTTAAGTTTTGTGTTTCCAGCCTTCTGACACACTGATGGTCACTGTACTTTCTGTATTAGGCGCGTCAATCCCGACAAGCTGTTCTTCAGCGGTGCAGTGAGGGGTGAGAGTGCTATGAGCAGTCTGGACGACATCGGCAGTGCTGTGGGTTTTGAGTTTGTGGTAAGAAAAGAGTTTGTGGCTATCTGGGATGCTGTTTTGCCACCTACATGTAAAAAAAAGAAGAAAAATATATATTATAAGTATATTAAAATAGGTTTCAGTGGGGCCAATAACAAAAGCATGCTCATTGGACTTGCTTTTACTGCACTGCAACTTCTTAATGTACCTTTAAAAACAAGAGAGAACTCAAAACGAATGTTTACAAAATACAATACTATCTCCTTAAAAGTAAATACTGCCCAGAGAGGTTTGCCTTCTCTTAGTCTGTCTTGTTTATTTTATCTTTTCATAATAGCAAAAAAAAGGACCCAAGACAGAAACATCTATGAACATACTTTATTAAATGTAAGGTTCTTTTTTTCCCCTCTGTCAGGTTGCTAATCCCGGTCAAGCTCTCCAGACACTTGGCTCTGCCTTCCTCAACATCATGTGGCCCTATGAGCTGGCCAATGAGAAATGGCTCCTGTATCCTGCCAGCTTGACGTTTCAAGGCCACCCGGAAACACAGTGCAGCCCTACATCAGCTCTGAATCCTCTGAAGCTACAGGGCTCCTCGCCTGCAGAGCCGGGCAGTCACGGGGTAGGCGGAGCAAGTCACTGCCGACTTTGAACTGGCTCATTTGTTTACACATACACACAAAAATATATATGCTGACTTTAACTAATTTGAGTACATGTTAATTTTTCATGATATATCGTTACATACAGCATTACATTTAATGGAATCTGGTCAAATGAAAGGTACTTGATTGGTATACAATTATTTTGTACTAGTCATGTTTCCCTGAATAAATAATAATAAATAATATTTCAGTTGCATTTTTTCTCAAAATTATTTTTTTAAATTTTTTCAGGGCAAACAATATTTTTAAAGAGCAATTTATTTCATTGGAAAAGGGCTCACAAGTCCATGTTTTAACAGCAAGTGACAGAAATAATAAGAATAGGATATGAGGACTCAGTCACTCAGTCCAGAAGTCAGTGCTGAATGACGTATGTTAGCAATTCATTTAATCTTCTCTTTTTCTGTGTTTTACACTGTTTTAGGAGAGAAGTTAATGAAAAAAATCCTTTATAATATATTATATGCTGTCTCTTTGCATTTTGACAAAACCTTTTTGAACCTTTTGTTGAAACACGCATATAAATGCATCTATTTCAGCAGGTTGGGCGAAAACGCCGCTCCCACCCTGAGGAGGAAGGTCAGATCATGACTAAAGGCAGCGTGGGACAGACCACGCCTGCTGTGGCAGCTTCAGACAGACGCAAGTCGCTCAAACTGGTAAGAAGGAAAAGAAGCAGAGAGCCAGGGAAAAGACCAGAACGTGGGTTATTGATTTCCTGCCAATGCACTCAAACAATTCAACAGTTTTAAAATGTGAACACGTAGTCCTCTTTCATTTCCACAGCAGTTTACATTCAGGTGTGACTTTGTTTTCTAGGATTGCCTGCTGGGGTCAGCACGCTGTGTGCTGTTCCAGTGTCCTCTCCACAGCTTCTCCGGTCAGGCTGTGCTTAAAATCCACGCCAGACTGTGGAACAGCAGTTTCATAGAGGTAATATTACATCAGCACCTTTCTGAATATTACTCTCAAGCTCAGCTTCAGTCCAACTGTCACAGCTGCTGCAGCGAGCAGCGAGAGAGCGATAACTGCAGCAAACGCATTTACACAGTGACGACTGATGTCAGGAAGCTCGTATGTTACAGACGATGTCTGGCGACCAAGTCAAATGGACTTTCAATTTTCAATATTCACTGAGATCAAAGAGTAAGAATATGTGAATATGTTAGTTTGCTTTTCCATCAAACATCAACTTTTTAATAGAAATTTATTTACAATTTTGAAATTGAATTTGTCATTAAATTTGCCTTGTTTGTATCTCCTCCGTGGGACGAGGAGGAGAACAAGAGGTCACAAGCCTGGATACATGATGTTTGCATCTGGACGGACTCCTTTAATCATGTAATGATCCCTTAGGAAATAAGGGATCAGCAAAGCACCTAAAGGAAATAGAGTCTAGTTTGTTTTCTCTTTAAATCTCACTATTTCATAGTTTTGGCTCAAACACTAGTTTTATTAAACTGTGTGAATAGTTTATATGATGTAATTAGTGGAGCCAACATTATGTTGCTTTTGGCTGAAGTTTTAATGTTTCTCTGTGCAGTTTTCCTTGTTTTAAACACAAACTTGCTACTGGCTTTGTTTCTGTCTGTCTCTTAGGACTTCCCAGCAGTCAGTGCTCTGGAGCTGCTGGTCAGAGCCAACATCACTGTGAAGTCCAGCATCAAACATCTGGTCCTTAAGGATGCTGCTGCACTGGTACTTCACACACATTCATTTAAAAAATAAACATTTTTACTGTTAAGTTGCTGTTTGTGCATTGCTTCAAGCTTTGAGCTGAATATCTTTTCTTCCTTATCAGGTTTCAGTGATGATTTATCCCGAGCACGGTGTTACTGACCAGTACTGGATCCCCTGGTGGATCATCCTCATTGCCATCCTGGCAGGTGTCCTGCTGCTGGCACTGCTGGTCCTCATGCTATGGAAGGTAATCCATCAGATCTCAAATGGTCTGTCTTTACTTTTTCACTGTGTTTTTTGTCTTTTTATTCAACTGTAGGTCTTTATCATTAACAGTAGTGGAAAGATAAAAAAAAATCAAACAGGAAAATAAGACAGGTTTACATATAAATGTTTATATAGTAATGTTTTATGTGAAAAATGATGTCAAAGAAGAAAATAGAAGAAAATACATTAAAAATTGACAATTTACTTTTGGGTGGCAACCAGTTTTGGTCAAGTTACTTGAAAAAAGTAATCAGTAACTAATTACTGATTACTTCCCCAAAAAGTAATCCCGTTACTTTACTGATTACTTATTTTCAAAAGTAATTAATTACTTAGTTACTTAGTTACTTTTTAAAAACACGATTTACAACCTGAATAGGTGATAAAGCGATAGATCTTTCAGCCCAATTCTACTTTTTCTACATAATCCATCATACAAAATGTAATCAAATGGAAAAGTCTCTTTTTAAAACTTGTTTTATTAGTTTTAATCTTTTAACTTTATGCATCAAGCAAAAATTTAATTATATGCAACATTCTCTGACTGGAAGAAATTTGTTTAACTATTTAAACCTATTTTCTGCACATTCCAGCACATAAAATAAAATATTTTTTGTGTTTACACTCAGTCTTTCAAATAGATGCAAGTAAAACACAGCAGAAAATAAATAAAGTCAAAGACTAGCGGTCCTGTTGCTCTATTTTCACCTGTAAAGCAGGAGTAGGCGGAGGTTAGCCCTGGTGCAGGTGTGCCGCAGGCGGTCAGTGGAAGAATCCGCGGAGTTTCTCTGTGATTTCCCATTACGTGGTAGCAGCACTGTGGTTGCTGTAAAAAGAAGTTTTCTTCCCACGCACAGCGGACACTAATGTTTTTGTCACTTTTTATGGAGATCAAACTCAAAGTAAGGTCAGTAGCTTCCACACTTTAAACGCTGCAGCTCATACTCTCTCGCGTACTCGATATGATGTATCCATTGTTGATCTGCACACAGCTGTTGTCACGACGTGCACTCGCTTACGTCACTGTCGTGAGACATTCTCGCAAAAAATCACGGTTTTAGTAACGCAGTAACGCAGCGTTCCTACGGGAAAGTAACGGTAATCTAATTACCGTTTTTGCAATAGTAATCCCTTACTTTACTCGTTATTGAAAAAAGTAATCGGATTACAGTAACGCGTTACTGAATTATATTTCTTGCTAATCAAAAATAATAATTCTTAATAATTTATAATTTAACAATTTACACAATTTATTAGAGAAAATTCTTATTCTGTATTTGTTTAAAGTAGTGCTAGCTAACTAGCAAGTGAGCACTTTTCTAAGATGGATCGCAGGTCATATATGATGTTAACCCTGAAGCCAAAACCATGAAAATTTAGATGCACAAAAAATGAAATTATATATATTTGTACAGTCAATTTGCATTTATGCACTTATTACTTATTGTTTGCATAACACATGAGTATGATATTCTAAATGTATCATTTTTGCAGTTTATTGCTCAAAAATTACTTTTACAATTTAAAAATTGATGATATAGAGGTCCAAAAACACGTCGGATACAGTTACAGGCCTTACAGGATTCATTTGCATAGCAATAATAGTTCCACCTGAAATGTGGAAGAAGAGTCACAATAAACTGGAATATTTTAGTAAAGTAAGTTAACTAGTCCTCAAGTACTCTTTTCCTTTCCATCAAAGTTCAACAGCTGCAGGATCCTGAGTGACGTTTCTTTGATGTCACTGCAGTTGCCTTCGCTCTGGGCCGTCCGTTATTGGTCTGCCTTGCTCTGATCTGTCCTGCAAATGTTTTATTCCTTCCAGCTCACTCTCACCTGTGCCTTTCCTCTTCTGTCCTCATGTTTGTCCTCTGTGTGACGCTCCAATCTGTGTTTTGTTCCCTTTTCTTTCCTCCTCACCTCTATCGGGGAATCCCCTCTGTTATATATCTGTGTTTTCCCCACTACCCCGCCCCAGTGTGGGTTCTTCAAACGCAGTGAGCGACGCCATCATTATGAGACGGAGTACTACCGTGCCCATTTGGGGGTCCAACCCTCGGAGGCGGAGAAGCAGGCGACAGAACAATAATATAAAGTATACCCCCCTCTGGCCTGCTCTCCCCTCCTCTTCTCACTCCAAGCGGTAAAAATCTTCACCTGCAGTCGTCTTTGTTCCTCAATTCACTCGAAGGCCGGTGGTGTTCATTACAGCATGACAGCAAATGTAGGCTCAGATGATCTCAGGTGGCATCATAGCAGTGACACATGAGATACAAGAGAACTGATCTCTTGTAAAGCCTTCTTTACCTTTGTTCCTGTTTATATTAGTAGAAAGAAAAAAACATTATAATGACAAAAAAAGACAGATTTACCAGATTCTTAGCATTTTCCTACTTTATTCTTCAATATAGACAAAAGGTGGCTTCTAGTTTCTGCCATCACTCATTTTTACGGGACAATGTTTGCAGGCAGATTGAGAATTAAAATGAGAGGTTATTAGCTCCATAAGGGGGTATAAAATTATTTCTCTAGGTTATATTTTGTGTCTGTTCATTTTTAAATTAAACCTTCATTAAATAGGTAAAACATTTATACTAAGCAACCACTTTATTTGGTACACCTCGCTAGTTGCACTCACTTTCGCCTTCAGAGTTGCCTTGTTTTTTTCATGACACAGATTCAAAAAGGTCCTGGAAACGTTCCGCAGAGAATTTGGTCCATTTTTACGTGATAGCATCACACACTTTGCAGATTTGTCAGCTATAAACGCATGATGCTAATTTCTCATTTCATTACACCCCAAAGGGATCTGGTGAGTGTTGCTTGTTGAGGCAACTCATTGTTAGGTTCAAGAAACCAGTTTCAGATTATTTGAGTTACATGGAACATTATCCTGCTGGAAGCAGCTATCAGATTATGGCTACACTTGGTCATCTGTCTTGGTCACCTGACTCCAGCATCTGAATGTTGCAGCAGAAATTGAGACTCATCAGTTTTTCCAATCTTCTGTTGCCCAGTTTTGATGAGCCCGTGTGAAATGCAGTCTCAGTTTCCTGTTCCTAGCTGACAGCAGCAGCCAATGTGGCCTTTTGCTGCTTGAGTTCAACTATTTCAAGGTTCAGTGTGTTGTGCATTCAGAGATGCTTTCCTGAATACCTTGCATGCAACAAGGGGTTATTTGAATTTTGCCTTGCATCAGCTCAAAGGATGCTGGCAATTCTCCTCTGCCAACAAGGCAGGACACTGGATACTTTGCCTGTAAACCCTGGAGATGGTTGTGTAGAAAAATCCCAGCAAATCATCAGTTCATGAAAGACATAGATGTCAGCAGGTCATCTTGGCCATTTCTGTCAGCCTAAATATACGGAGATCTTGCCATGTGACCGACTAATAAGACTTTTCAACTGACAAGCATCTGTACAGGTGTACCCAGTAAAGTGGCCAGTTAGCATATATGAACTGTGTTGCCTACATTCATGATTTGATCCCAAATTTTAAAAAAGCTATTTTCATTGTATTTAATTCCCCTAAAATGTCTGAAATCATCATACCTTATTATAGAAACACATATCTGCTATCTCTACATAGGTGGCTAGTTGCACATATAGCCTAATGCTAGGTATTAGCCTAAATGTCCTATTTTAACAACAACCTTTAATATTAATGTCTCCCATGAGCAGCTACTTTGCTAGTCTCAGTTGTTGGTTCACTGAAACTGTTTTCGGTGTTTTGTTCTGTAAAATAATTTAAAACCTTTGTTTTCTATTCACCTAATCTGTGCCTGTTGAACACCATCCAGCCATCTCTCCTTCAAGGCTTTAACATGCCTGCTGTGCTGTGTTTTGTGCCTCTTACTTTTCAGTTATCTGCACTTGTTCATTCTGGCATCATTCTCAGAAGACTGTTCATTTCTACACGGTCCCCTCTTCCTAAAAATCTATTAACGATTTGACATGCATTCAATAACTGATCAACTTTTCCAGGTGCCAGACTGAACTTGTCGTTAGGATCAGTGGATGTCTTTGTTCCTTTTAATGAGTGTAAATCTGCTTAGCGGTACTTCAGTGTGTTGGTGTGTTAATCGCAGACACTTCAGGCTGGTGCAAGGTTATAAATGTTGAGCATGAGAGTGTGCTTTTTGGTTGGTGTGCTGTTTTAAATTTATTTTTTATTAAAAAGTCACTTTATTTGCAGCTGGTAATCAGGTAATCACTTTGCCTTCTTATCTGTGAGATGCACTGTAAAGCTTTACCTAAACGCAATGAATAAGAGTGGATATTTTTCTTAGAAGGCATGCTATTTAGTAACACAGCATCTCCTCAAACACAGTTTAACAACTGTAGTTACCACAGTCCCTTAAAAGTGGCACTGGTTAATTCTTTTTCCTTCCCTTCTGCCTCCTCCATCCATCTTTCCCTTCTTCTGTGTGCACTCCGACCCACTTTCCTCCCTGGGTCAATAGTGTGGCTTCTTCCGACGGGCGCACTACAAGGACAAACTGCCTCAGTACCACGCGGTCAAGATTCCTCGCGAGGACCGGCCTCAGTTTCAGACTGAGAAGTCAGGAGGCGTCCAAAAAAAGGAATGGGCCACACACTGGAGCGACGGGACCTCGTAACCTGCTTTGATGCCCTGACTTTAAAAAAAAGAAAAAAAAATGTGCAACACTCATTATGTCTTTGCTGTTGAATTAACTGACTAAAAAAGTGCACAGAGACTGGGATCACGAAATGTTGTGCACACTTCACTTCATCATTGCTTACATACTGATGCATTTTCTCAATACTGTAGCCTACTGAAGGCCTTACATAGCTTATTTAGTCTAAATCAATATCATAGCATTGTACTGAAGGCCTACGACAACATTAAAACCAGTCGAGCTGCTGAGTACGTTCCCCAGCCCTCACTGCTGCTTCACTGTCTGACATCAGAAAGAAGGACTGAAAATCAAAGACATGCATAAGCACCACATGCAGATCCTAACAGACACACACAGATACAACTGGACATTATAGTAAAGAAGCCAGTGCCCATGACAAAGACTACTTTTTGCCTTAAATACTGTAAGACTGAAGATTCATATGGGCAATGAAAAGAAAATGCATTTTTCTATATATAAAGGACTTTTTTTTAGTACTGGTTAAAGCACTGGGTGGGTGGATGTCCGTGTTTCGATGAATGTGTTGTCTTCTGGGCTCGACGATTACTCTGGGTTGGCTCAAAAAGCCATTTAAAAAGTTCATTGATAGCTTTTGTAGGGCTTTGTTCAATTGCCTGAGTAACTTGAATAAGAACAAGAAACCACAATACAACCTATAACATGCCGTAGCCACGACCAGAGCACTGTTGTCGCATGTGTCAGATTTT